TTAAGAGCGCATATATAATTATGCTCCTTCTCTGTCTGTCTGTTTGTCTGTCTGTCGGGATGTCTATCTCTGGGTATATATGTATATGTATGTTTGCAATGCTATTTTTTTTTCTTCATTGCTCTATCTATTTGTCGGTCTGTCGGCCTCTCTCTCTCTCTGTCTGTCTGTCTGTCTGTCTCTCTCTCTCTCTCTCTCTCTCTCTCTCTGTCTCTCTTTCTCTCTCTCTCTCTCTCTTTCTCTCTCGCTCTCTCACTCTCTCTCTCCCTCTCTCTCTCTCTCTCTCTCTTTCTCTCATTCTCTCTCTCTCTCTCTCTCTCTCTCTCTCTCTCTCTCTCTCTCTCTCTCTCTCTCTCTCTCTCTCTCTCTCCCTCTATCTATCTATCTACCTCTTCTTACTTCCTCATTTCTTCCACCTTCTTGTATGTGTTTAGTCCACGTCTGTGTATATATACGTGTAAGCACATAAATTTATGTCTGTATGTGCTTGTACTTATACGAATCCATGCCTACAGTGAATTCATATAATTTTTTTTTTTTTATGTGCATACATGCATGTGTGCTGTACATGCCTTGTTAAATATGTACACTGAAATATTTTCCTTTGCCTCTTACTACTGCCATGGACAGCCTCTAAAAGTTGTGAATGTTGCTGCAATGCGGCTTCTTCTGCTCTGAGTCTTATTTGGCTGGCTATAGTATTTCATAATAAAACGGGAAAGGAAATGTTTTCACTGCATCTAAGCAAATATTCCCCTGGGATGAGAGATGATGTATTTCAGTGATATTTCTTTGTTCGTAAAGAAGCAAAAGCTCGGTTTCCTAGGTAAGACAAAGATTTATAAAAATGTGTGTATATATATATATATATATATATATATATATATATATATATATATATATATATATATATATATATATATATATATATATATATATATACATATATATATATATATATATATATATATATATATATATATATATATATATATATATATATATATATACATATATATATATATATATATATATATATATATATATATATATATATATATATATATATATATATATATATATATATATATATGTATCTATGTATGTATGTATGTATATATATATATATATATATATATATATATATATATATATATATATATATACATATATATATATACATATATATATATATATATATATATATATATATATATATATATATATATATATATATATATATATATATGTATATATATATATATGTATATATATATATATATATATATATATATATATATATATATATATATATATATATATATATATGTATATACATATAACTATGTATGAGTAAATATATGAACGCCTACATGCATTTGTTCATGTACGTATTAGTTTGTATGTATGTACCTATGTATACATGTATATATTTGTTCTTAAGTGGACTCTTAACTAGTGTGTATGTGTGTGGGTGTGTATGTGGACCTGGATAAAGATCTTTGTGAGTTTCTATGAGTGTATGCGTGTATGTGTGCGCCTCTTTCACGAAATAAGCCGAGGATTTAAGAAATGGTCGAAAGAGAAAAAAACTTGATAATATCTTAGAAAACCCTTAATAAATCCAGAGCCTTCCTTTTATACTTCAACCACTTTACTCTTTTTCACCCTCTCTCTCTTTCTTCCTGTTTTCTCACCTTTCTCTTAATATTTTGGTCTTCTCTTCTCCTTCTCCTTTCTCCCAGCATTTTTTTCCCCTCTTTCTCTTTCTCTATCTTTTTTCTCTCCCTTACTCAGCGCCACTACTCATTGCATGACACCTAGCCAAAAGCGTCCTTAAATGCCCTTTAAGTCTGTATATGACTCGCTGACCCGAGTCTTCTCTTAGGGTCCTCTCGCTCGTCGCAGCCCCGCTAAAGAACTTCGAAAACTCTTGCCATAAAGTTACATTTTCTGGGTTTGGGTACAGGGCGATGGGCTATTTACGTGCATGGCTACACGTTTAGCCTTGTACGTAGGGTACAGACAAGGTACGTACAGGAAAAGAGACGTGCAAACACAAGCCAGTACACATAGGAACGTGTATGCGTATGTATAAAATTGTAAAATAATGATGAAATGGTTGCAGCAAGATGACGCAAGCAACAGCGTGTATTTGATACGAATATTAGTTTATATTCTAAATGCCCTAATGTCTATGTCTCCATCTGTATCTAAATTCATCCACATGTCTGTATACCTCCCCATGATATATGAAAACATGTACACACACACACACACACACACACACACACACACACACACACACACACACACACACACACACACACACACACACACACACACACACACACATATATGTATATAAGTATATACACGCCCACTGATCCTGCCGTCTTCCTCTGACCCTATGCTTGGCTTTCAGACCCGGCTTCTGGTGCGGCGACGGCGTGGGCCTCGAGATGTACTACTCGGAGACGCCGTCCGTGTCCGTGATCATCACCAGGCTTCCCACCGACAACGACCTCACCGCCCTCGACGCCTTCTCCAGCTTCTACTTCAAGATGTCCTACAAGTTCCTCCGCCGGGAGTCGGCTGTCGTGCGCTACGGGCTGCCCTCGGAGCCTAAATACTTGGGCCTCCGCGATCCCACGACCGTCTGCAACGCGCTCTTCACCAACTGCGACCAGCGTCCGTGCTTCGTCCAGTCGCCCAACTTCCCCGGCATGTACCCCAGGAACACCACGTGCTACTACCACCTGAGCCAGACGCGCCTGATGGACGGCAAGCGCGCCGTGATCGCCCTCAGCCAGGACGACGGCCGCCTCGTGCACGTCAAGAGCGCCGTGCAGTCCCACGACACAACGGAGCGGCACCTCAAGCTGTACGAGGAGTGCTACTACGTCGGGGATTATGTCCGCGTGTACGACGGACCGTATACGACGTCGCCCGTGCTCATCACCTTCTGCCGCGGCGCCAACGTGCCCGAGATCGTGTCGTCGGGCCCGGATATGCTCATCGAGTTCACGACGTCGCCCTATGACTGCCCCCACCACGAGATGCCTTGGACGCACGTCGCCGGCTTCGAGCTGAAGGCGCAGACGCGCTTCACGGCCGAGACGAACCTCGGCGAGGACTGCCGCATGGAGATCCGCAGCTCGGCCAACCGCACGGGCTGGCTGGAGGGCCTCGCCCACAGCGTCCCGCCGAACACCACCTGCGTGTGGCAGTTCCTGGGGGAGCCCGGCCAGGTCGTGTGGATCACCTTTGCGCAATACAAAACGCACACGCAAGTCAAGAAACTACAGACGAAATACTGCTCAACCAAGCTGACTGTCAACGACGGCGTGTGGCCCGACGGGGACGAGATCGCCTGCCACTGCCACGACAACGAGCCGCGCACCTGCGACCGCGCGCGCCGCCTGCTCGACGACTCCAACGTCAGGCCCTGCGGCAGGAACGAGTCGTACATCTCCTCCGGCAGGAACCTCAGCATCTCGCAGCTCTTTGGCGACGGAAGCGTGGTGACCAAAGTGACCTTCTTGCTGAGGTGAGAGTCGTTGTGTTGGATTGCCGTTGATCTGAAATTGTTATTTTCTGAGCGAATAAAGTGGACCCACTGTCTTACTGTCTTTCCTTTCCAGGTATGAGTTCGTGGACCAGATCCAGGCGGGCGAGTGGGCCGGCGACCCCTGCACGCGCGTCATCCGCAGCGACGGGGCGGCGCAGGGCAACTTCACGCTCACGGCCCCGCACAACATCTTCCTGTACGGCCGCGGGGGAAGCCCGACTCTGTCGTGCTCATGGCGGCTGCTGGCTGCGGAGGACCAGGTGGTTCGCCTCACCATCAACAGCATCCGAACAGGGCTATCCGAGTGCAGGACGCAAGTGAATCGCCAGACGAAAGCGCTCATGTGCGTGCCCCGAGGCCGCGCGCACATGTCGCTGACGGTCTCGGAGTGGCCGTGGCCCGACATCGAGCTGCCGTTGGCCTGCGTGTGCTCGCAGGACTCGATCCCGATCACGGAGGTGTCCCACGGGCCCGACCTCACGCTGAACCTCACCATCACGGGCATGCAGCCGCATGAGGACTTCCGCCACTACTACTTCAACGTCTCGTACGAGTTCGAGAAGGCGCCGGGGTGCGTGGGCTCGACGCGGATGCTGTCGGGGCCGGCCGGGGAAATCGTGGCCGCGTCGTCGCCCTCGTCCGAGAAGGCGAAGTGCGAGGGCTTTCCGTGGCTGCTCAAGACCCCGCCCAACCACGCCCTCTTCCTGACCCTACCGCGGGCGAGCCTCGACAACGGCACCTGCGCCTCCGACACGCGCCTTTTCTTCCACGTGCCCGGGCGAGCAGAGCCCGTGTACGGCGTGTGCCCGGCGGCGGACCCGGCGGCCGCCATCACGTTCTTCTGGCCGCCGCGGGAGTGGAACAGCCCGCCGCCGCCGCCGGAGGAGACGGAGGCCAGCGACTCCAACGGCTACGACGACTCTGAGGACGACTTCAAGAGCAGCGAGCTGGACTTCCGGGAGTCGTACGGCGGCCGAGGGTCGTCCCTGGTGGTGGTGTGGGAGCCGCGCAGCGCGTCGCGGCTCAAGCTGCGCTGGCTCACCACGTGGAGTCCGGCCGACCTGGAGGGCTACGACTTCGCCTACGCGACGGCGTCCCTGGAGGGGCGCAGCGGCTGGCGAGACCTCCCGCCCGAGCCGCCCTGCAAGGAGCTGTGCCCCGAGCTGGGTCCCGCGTGCATCCCCGCGGAGCTGTGGTGTGACGGGAAGCAGCACTGCCCGCAAGGTGAGTGCGCCCGCGGGGAGCGCCGGCGGGCAGCCTCGAAAGGGCCTCAGTTCACTCTTTCCGGGTGTGGTTACATTTGTATCTTAAAAACCATACGACATATATATGTATGTACACACACACACACACACACACACACATATATATATATGTGTGTGTGTGTGTGTGTGTGTGTGTGTGTGTGTGTGTGTGTGTGTGTGTGTGTGAGTGTGTGTGTGTGTGTGTGTGTGTGTGTATGTATGTGTGTGTGTGTGTGTGCATGTATATTCATATATATATACTTATGTATATATATATATATATATATATATATATATATATTTATAAATATATGTGTGTGTGTGTGTGTGTGTGTGTGTGTGTGTGTGTGTGTGTGTGTGTGTATGTATGTGTGTGTGTGTGTGTGTGTGTGTATGTATATTCATATATATATATTTATATATATATATATATATATATATATATATATATATATATATATATATATATATATAAACGTGACGTGTGTGTATATATATTTATATATATATATATAAATGTGTATATATATATATATATATATATCCTTCTCAGCTTGTCTTTATTCGGGGTTGCCGTTTCTTATGATCCTACTCAGGATCCTACATGATCCTAGTTCAGTTCTGAGCATCTCTTTGATCGAGGCCTTTCTCTCTCATGTCCGCACAATCTTTCCATCTGTTTCTTGGCCTTTTCCTTCTCCGCGTCCCCGGTAGTTCCATATCCGTCGCTTCTCTTCCTGTGTGTCCTTCATCGTCCCTTCTCATCAGATGCCCAAACCATCTCAATCTCACTCCTGCATTTTTTTTCTCGATATTTCGAGTACCTTCACCGATTCTCTGATGTCCTCCTTCCTAATTCTGTCCAAGCGTGTCACTCCTGACATCCATCTTAGCTTCTTCATTTCTGTAGCTTCTATTTTCTCTTCTTCTACTTGCTTGAGTGCAGCTGCTTCCAACCCCTACGTTGCCGGCCTTACTTCTTCTCTGTAGACCTTTCCTTTCAGTATTGGCACTCTTCTGTCACATATCACACCCGTCACTTTCCTCCAGTTGTTCCATCCGCACTGAATACGGTGATTTATTTCTTTTTCCATTCCTCCTGATGGCTCTGTCATTTCCAGATATCTAACACTTTCCACTCTCTTTATGTTCATTCCATCTAACTGTATCGTGAATATTTGATCTCCCTCGCTATCTCTTGTCATATATTCCGTTTTACTTCTGCTTATCTTTATATAAGCACATACAACAACAGCAGTGAGCTAACCATAAATAGTATTTCCAAACAGTCCTTTGCCACACGGTGTGGAATGGAGTCCAAAACACTAATGTTTTATCCGGCCACATTTCATTATACCATCGTTATGAATATCGACTGAGGTAACTAATGTCAAGCCAATAAGTGTAAACAAGAGTGATCGTGTTCTGCGCTGGAATTATAGGGGTAAAGCTTGAATACGAATATGTACAGGGATATAATGTAATGTATATTATAATATAATCGTGAAAACAAAATGCATCATTGCAAATTATATACAGAACATATATATAATTTGACATATAGATAGACAGATAGACAGACCTCTAAAGAAATATATACAAAATACAAACAAACGTTTCAGTACATATAGGATTCATCGAGAAGAGCTAAATACCATACCGAAAAGCACCGCAAAAAAGACGAAAATCGAAACCAAAGGAATAGTTCCACCGAATGTGAGTACAAACAGAAATGAATGGACGTGATATAACGAGGCCACAGGGATAATTACATCGTCCTAGACCGAGCATATCACCGGGTCACGTTACCATGCACCAATACCTCTTGTCGAACTATGAGAGGAACGCTGGACGGCAGGACCCCCCGATAAGCATAGTTTAACTGTTAACAACGCAATTAGCAGCTTGACGCGAGTGCTTCGGCAGGATATTGTACGTTGCCAGGTACTGGAAAGGGAAAGGGAGAGTGCTATGGTGAGAGAGGGAGGAAGGGGAAGGGAGCTTTAGTGAGGGAGCTATAGTGGGAGAGGGAGGGGAAGGGAGCTATAGTGAGGGAGCTATGGTGAGAGAGGGAGGAGGGGGAAGGGAGCTATAGTGAGAGAGGGAGGGATGAGAAGGGAGCTATAGTGAGGGGGCTATGGTGAGAGAAGGGGGAGGGATAGCGAACTATAGTGAGGGAGCTGTAATGAGAGGGAGAGGATTAGGGGTAGAGAGCTATGGTGAGGGAGCTAGGATGGGAATGGTGAGGGTGCTGTAATGAGAGGGAAGGGAAGAGGTGTAGAGAGCTCTGATCACGAGGTATAACGAGAGGGGGAGGGAGGGAGGGAAATGGAGGGAGCTATTGTGAGGGAGCTATAGTGAAACAAAGGGGGGCGGGGGGAGGAGTGGAGAGCTATGATGAGTGAGGTATAGTGATAGGGGAGGAGGGAGGGAAAGAGAGTTTGGTTGGACGAGCTATGGGGAACAAGTGATGGGGGGGGGGGGGAAGAGAGGGAGGAGGAAAACTAGGGAAAGCAAGGGAGGAAGGCAAGATCTCTAATGAGCAGCGGCAAGAGGGCTGGAGAGGGGGGGGGGGGTAGAGAAGGCAAGGGGAGGAGGCAGACAACCGCAGACAGATAGATAGACAGATAGACATATAGATAGACAGACAGAAAGAGCGAGCGAGCGAGCGAGCGAGAGAGAGAG